GGCCACACAGGAGTCACCCACGGGCCACGTCTGGCCTGCGGGCCTTGAGTTTGACACATGTGCTTTAGAGCCATCACGGTAATCTGGACTTCCTTAAGATTGATTGATTTAAGGGCAATCTCGGACCAGAATTCGGCACAATTTTCCTGCTGTGTGACACAGCCCTAACAGCACAGCATTTTTTTTTTTTTTAGTTTGCCCAGCAATTTAGCACTAGTTATTCAGGATCTTGATAAATCAGCCTCTAAGTGGAGTGACATTTTACATTTCAATTWCCAGTATAAGAAACAGCAACACATTTCACAATTTGAATTATTGTACTTACACTTGCGTTAATCTTAAGTCGATAAAAGGGACTCAGTGAGGTATAATTCAGACGTCCTTTTAGTGTCACTTTACCATCAAACACACCAATCTCAAACAGATTAGCTCCTTGAGCTGGTGATATCTGGAAAACATATCCCAATGAAACTCTGCAGTTCATTCAACATCAGCAGATAATGATATTAAAGACATGATTTACAACTTACCTCATCAATGCTGTATCTAACTGCACCAGCACTTCCAGTGTCCGCATCTGTGGCAAGCACTGTGGTCAGTGTATGTCCTATGGGGGCATTCTGGAGGCAAAATAAGCCAAAGAATAAACCCAAAAATGTCCAAGCTTTTTCTACAGATTCATGAATAAGTAAACAAGTATTACAGAGAAAAAAACAAGACTCAAAGCAGGTTAGAGATCATAGGATAATATGCTATGTTTCTATGGATGTTAAAAGGACAAGAAAATCATAATTAATATTGTTTCAACATTTTTTCTCTACCTCTGGCACTGACGTATCATAAGAAGACTCCTTAAATAGAGGACGGTTGTCATTGGCATCTAATACTATTATAGTTATTGTCCCAGAATCCTGAAAAACATGATTGTCATTGTTAATATAGTGAGTAAAAAAATTATATATATATATATATATACATTAAGCTATAAATTAAATATAACATACTTTACTTTGACCATCACTGGCTTCAGCCTCAAACGTCAGAACAGCTTCAGTCTAGAATAGATGAAGTTGTGTAAGTAATGTGTAATGTTTAATGAAAAGAAGGTTTTTATTTTTTTTTCATGTAAATTTTCTCTGTTTCTCTAACACATCATACCTCTCTATCAAGGGCACCATTCAGTGTTACTCTGCCAGAGGCACGATCAACTTCAAAGGCTGAAGCCTGAATTCCAAACAACTGATAGGTCAATGTGTCACCTTCAGGGTCTGATGCTAAGATGTCAAATGCATGAGAACCTATACAAACAATGACAACAATGAATATAATGAATGTATTTAACTGATAGTTGTTGAACGGTAAACATTTTTTAATCCTTTATAGAGACAAATACCYTTTTCAAGGTCTTCACACAGCTCATGTACTCCATCTTTGACTTCAGGGGCGTAGTTGATTGCTAAAGCAAATTATTTCAACATTAATTAATAATGTAAAAACACAAAATTATGGGGAAAATGACTGTCAACTTTACTAAACTCATACCTTGGACTGAGCAGACAAGAAGCAGGATAGTCCATCCTGTGTGTGGCCCCATGTCTGAAAATCACAAAAAAGATGATTTATTAACAACTCTGATTTTTTTTAAAACCAAAAAATGAGAACTATTTTATTCATTTATCATCCAATACAGTCATTAATGCATTGAGATTAGAAGAGCCTGCCCTGCTAACATTATGGCTGAAGATGGAAGAAAAGGATTTCAGCGAAATCCAACATGCAAACATGACAATTCTAATCTGTTGATGTTAACATTTACAGAATTCTATTTAACATGTTGTCCTTAAATATAAAAGTTTGCACTATGGAAATGTACTTCCTCAAGAAAATATGGCAAATATAGAATTATGTCTATTTCAATGTTTTTCTGACTTTTACCAAGAGTTTTGCTTTGTCTTTTTTTTTTTTTTTGCTTCCAGTCCAATTTTGATCAAAGGTAAAAGAAAAATGGGAAATACTGTCTCTATTGGTAAAATTGGCAATCAAACTAAAAAATGAATCAATATGTTCTCTAATAATCCTCTAATTAACTGCACACCACCAACACATTTCAATGCCTTCAACAGCAGATGTTGCTATGTAAGAAAAAGAAAAAGTAATAAAAACTGATTATAAAAGAACTAAACACTACAATATGTTGAAAAAGAAAGCTAATGAGGAAGTGTCATAAAATATTATTCTAATTTCCTTATTGGAGTCAGAGGTTGCTGCTTTGTTTTTCTTTAGTCATGGTTTCCTCAAGCCTTATTGAACATTACTGCACAGTTTAAGTATCAGTTATCAAGCAAACATTTGGAAAGAGGTTATGGTAATTATTATTAACTGATACGTTAGTATTTTATGCAATGTATGCCATGCCAGGTTAAAAAACAAGAGCAAAGAGCCAACTTCAGGGCTTTAGTACTGAGGGTCATAAATCTAACAAGTGATATCCAGAGGACTGTGTACTTTTCGATCCTACTGTATGTGTGCCAGAAAACTGCTGCTGCTCTAATTGTATCAGTTAAACATTTACAGTGAATCACACGCAAGGCCTCGCCCATACAAATTAAAAGAAAGTAGACTAGTGAAAACACCTTGAAATCTTGATTTTCAGAGAAAGCAAATCATCGCTGAGTTTGTCTAAGTTAAATTATGTAAAATTATTTCAAACTTAATA